AAATTATTTCTGGGGGTCATATGCTTGCCTGCGAAACCCTGTGTCTCCACCACTGTTTTCAGACTATTTTTGGCACCTTAGCCTGGTTGAAAAAATTTTGTTGGGGGTGACATTGTGTCACCCCCTCCTGTGCTAGGTTGCCCCAGGGCAGTCCACCCCCTTGACCCCCCTCCCTTAGCTATGCCACTGGTGTTGCATTCATCTTAATTTTTTATTACAATACTCAGGTTGCTTTAAAGAAAGCATCAAGGATTGCAAATAAAGAATTAGTATATGAAAGGATTTGAACTCACATTCATTGTCCTTGAGAGCCTACTTGATGAGGAGTGTTTTACTGTTTAGACTACAAAAGCCAACAAAGATAAAATTCAAATTTAGTCATATAGTTATAGTCTTTACTATCTGATTTCATTTCTATGTCATATTGTTGATTTACACCTGACATCTACAAATGTAATAGTGTTAATTTGTCTAAATATATTATCTTAATCATTGTCAATATTATTAGGTTTTAACTAATATTTTTTATCTTGTCTTGTCAAAAGCCTATTCTTTACATCTGATAATTACTGATAATTTAAAAGTTCTAGAATGTAAGAACAATCTAAGAATTACCAGAAAAAAAACAAGAATGAGATGAAAGAAAAAAAAATGATAACTTATATGCAAGATAATATCAAAAATTTCCAAAAAATTGTGTTTGTACCATTTAAAGGAAACACACATTCCAATACTGCTAATTGGTAACCAGACAATTGATTTGAATTGATTGATTTATTTTCTATGTCTTATCAATTCTTTGCAGATTATTTAAAGCTAGGAAATGGAGATAATAATAATTTAATGAGTCATGTCTTACTATTTAGCCCATAACTGGGGGAGGAGTGGTGGATTCATACCTTTCTGAAGTGAATATAATGAACCCAACTGAAACTGGAACTTGGCTCTCCAATTAACATTTCCAAGCCATTATCCATGACACACTCCAACACATCCAAGCTTAGAGTAACTGGTCCAGACAATTGAGTCAGTCTACCAACAGGCTTTGAGCTCTGTACTTGTGTTCAATTATTATGCAGGACATTGTAACATGGTGTGTTTGAATAGCTTTGTAATTCTTAAAATAGCTGACAGGCTTACAGACATATCATAATGAAACACTGGTACTTGCAAGACAACCAAAATTAAGCAGTGTCTAGTCTGGTCACTACCTAGATGGGTGACCACTTGGAAATAACAGGTGTTGTAAGCTTGTATGTATGGGTGATGAAATAGATAATGCTTGGAATTGGTAATCAGAGTGCAAAGTTTTAATTCCAGTCAGAATATGTTATATTCACTTGGAAAAGGTATGAATCCACCATTTCTCCCCTAGCTATGGTTTAATTAGTGAGAATTGTATCAGTAAATCATTATCTCCCCAAAACTTTTACAATCAAAAAAATATTTTCTGGCTTCAAAAGGTTGATAAGCCATAAAAAACAACTGAATCAATCCTATAATCTTACTTATTATAAAACGCAGATTGTGTGTGTGTGTGTGTGTGTGTGTGTGTGTGTGTGTGTGTGTGTCTGTAACGTTTATATATTGGATCGAATTTCCTACATTTTTCAATCGATTTCAACAAAACTTCACAGGACTACATAAAATTACCTTGCGGTGGTTCTAACAGCACCAAAAATTGCAAAAACTCAATTGTTTTTTGCAGAAAATCAATTTGAAAACACGATTAAGAGGCATTAATGAAAGGGGGACAACTCACATCAGCTAAAAAACCCATGTTTGTGTGTGTGTTCATTTATATATGGGATCGGATTTCCTACATTTTTCAACCGATTTTAACAAAACTTCACTTTTTTTTGGCAGGTAGTGTTTCTTATTTTCTTGCGCACTTTTTTCTTTATTTTTACATTCAGAATGCTTTAAAAATTCCATTTACAAGACAATTGTTTAAAATTCTATTCAATCAGTAGACTCATAACGATTGAAAACAATGTTTTTGTTTCAGTTTGGGTTTGACCAATTCGAAAAAAAAAAAAAAACTAATTAAGACATGCGTGTCCGTCATCCTTATAATCTAACGATCTCTATTGATTGTACGAATCCAAACATAAGATAATTCTTTAGGGCCATTTTTATAATTCCCTTTGCAATTTGGTACAAGGCAACGATAATGAATTGCTTCTATTTGAAATTAATTCAATATTTAAAAGAAAGTATTAAGAAATAATTTAAAAATGCCGACGTAAGAAAGAAATCTGATAGACAAAAAACAAAAATATTTCGAAGATGAAAATTATTAAGGAAAGAACACAGTACTTAACTTGTACCCGACTTTTCTGCTAAATTCCTTTTTTTTTTTGGTTCCTGCAGGTAAGTCTTTTACGAGGGCTTCTGTATGTCTTGTAAGGGTTTACGAGAATTTTCGTCGTTTCATCAGCGAACTTCGACTCATAATTGACATTTTAAACTTCAATAATTGTCCACACGTTGGTGCTTTTCGGGCGCCAAGGTCATCCCCCTCCTCCTCTTACGGACGGCCTCCATACACGCACTAACGCAACAGGATACGCAATATTCGCTAAGAGAGAGAGGGGGTATTCTCCTCTCTTCTTTCACTTAAGGTTTGTGTTGAGAGGGACGGTCACTATTACCGACCTTTTCCCCTACATTAATGACAGCGATATCTACCGTGATTTCCTCTTTCGCTGGCCGATTTTTTTTAATAGAGTGGAACGTCACTCAAGGTCAACCATCTCTACTGCGTGACTCGGGCTTGCTTTCACACTTTTGCGTTTATTGTTGCCCACGTGCATGTACGTGGCCTACTTTATTCGCCAACTTCAGATACCGCAATTTGTTATTACGTGTTCTAGCTGCTTTTTGTTTTATAGTTCCAACCCAACCCTACACACGTTAGCCAATTGTACTAAAAATCCGTTTCCTTTTGGATTTACCCTTGGCATACCTTTTTAAATTTCCACTTTTTTAGTTTCAAGTTCCCCTTTAGTAACATCTGAACTCATTTTACTGGGTGTTCCCCTTTTTGTGTCTACGTTAGCAGTGCACGATTTTTGGATTTGTCGAAATCTCTTTTTAAGCTTTACCCTCTTTGACGTTTTTACTGTTTGGATGCCACCTAAAAGGAGGAAACTTTTGGGACGGTGCACGGCAGCTGCCTCTGCTGCTAGAGCAGCGAGGGCGAGTGAAACCCCTGAACAGACTTCTTTGCGTCTTTCACAGATGGCCTCGAGCTCAGCTGCTCACTTATCCATGGAAAGCGCCGCTGCGCAGACTGAAAGGTTGGCTTCAGCGGCTTCAACTATGTCCTCACACCGCGCCAGGCTTTCAGTTGAAGAACATTCACTTCAGAATTCACAGGGCGCAGTCCACGTGGCTAGGTTGAGGGCTTCACAGTCCCCAGCACAGAAAACGCTTCGTCGTTTGCGTGATGTCATCGTCAAAGCTTGCTCCAGGAGTTTAGAAAGCCCCGAACAAACAACTTCACGTCGTCATAGGAATACTAGGGCTACAGCTGCCTCTAGAGCTTTGGAACAACCTCAAGAAACTGCTCATCGTCGCTTTAGAAATGCCCTATCCACCGCATCTGCCTGAGCCTTAGAAAGCCCTGCACAAACCACTGTTCATCGCATTATAAATGCCCACTCCACTGCATCTGCTAGAGCCCTAGAAAGCCCTGCACAGACCACTGTTTGTCGCGTTAGAAATGCCCGCTCTACTGCATCTGCCAGGATTGCAGAAAACTCTGAAGTACGCCATCAACGGCTCGAAAACATTAGCTCATTTCGAGCTTCTTTGAATGGCGTAACTTCGCCGTCTGCATCATTTTGGTTAAATGTCGCATACAATTATGACTGCATTTTCAACTATTCCGCTAGGAGAGACGTACAAATAGGGGCCATGGATAAAGTTTCCACTTTTTGCAACGCACAAAAGTGGGCCGGTGAAACAACCTGGGCTTTGTTGCTCTGGGGGCAAAATCAAACTCCCTTCTTTAGACGAGCCTCCCCAGCCACTTAGGGACCTCCTTCTGGGTACAACCGAGTCAACGCATTTTCTTGAAGCAATACGGAAGTATAACTGTTGCTTCCAGATGACATCTTTTGGTGCGAAGGCTATTAGTGAAGGGGATGGATGCCTACTTTCAAAGTGCAAGGCCAGGTTTACCACTTAATGGGATCACTTTTTGGCTGATCAGGAGAGCCACCTCAGTTCCTACAAATTTACTTTCTCGCAGACTACAACGAGCAGATTGATGCGGCGTCTCAGCATTCTGCCTAGCGATATTTCCATCGGTCCCGTAGAGACATTCTGTTCCGTCTACAAGACATGCTTCACGAAACTAACAGTTACATCCGAAGCTTAAAGTTTGCGCTGCAAAACAACTCTGCCCTCTTTCAGTGTTGTCATCGATGCAGACAGACGGCCTCACGGTGAGCATGAGCGTCACTTCAATGCTCCTGTATGTAATGAAATTGCTGCAGTCATCTACGGTGAGGAGCATAACAGCCGTGACATTGTCATAAAATACTGGGGCGGTGGTCTGTGCCGCATCAGTGAAACCCACCATTCATACTACTGTCTCCAGTACCCCTTCTTTTTTCCATCACGGAAGCGATGGGTACCACTTCAAAATCCCAATATGCCAGGCAAGCAGCGATTCCATGTCGACCTCAAAGACAGTCTCCTGTAGGGCTTACTATGCCTACATGTTTATGGTTAGGGAGGGTGAATTTAACCACTTGCACAGGTGCCATCAACTATTTCTTCAATTCGCTGTTGACATGGCTGCAAAAATGGAGTCGAAGAGGTTAGGATTCATCAAGTTAAACCAATCCAAACTTTGAACTGACTCCTACATTCACCTTCGTGATGGTCTGCGTTCTGATGGTGACCCACGCAATCTCGGCAAACCGTGCATTTTGCCTTCCTCTTACACTGGTGGCCCTCGATACATGCATGAAAGTACACAAGACACAATGACCTATGTCCGTCATTGTGGGAGGCCTGATTTGTTCATCACATTCACATGCAATCCGAAATGGGTTGATATTACACGCAAACTTTTTCCAGGCCAGCAGTACTCACACCGCCCTGACCTAATTGCCCGCGTTTTCCGGTTACAGCTGCGTAAGCTTATGGATTTGATCCTTAAAGGGCAAGTCTTTGGACGCGCCAAGTGCCATATGTACACAGTGGAATGGCAGAAACGCGGTTTGCCTCATGCCCACATCCTGCTGTGGCTCAACGATAAGGTTGATGCAAACAAAATAGACGATTTTATTTCTGCTGAAATTCCGGATCCTGCGCTGGAGCCTTTGCTCCACGAAATCATTAAAAAATATGATACACGGCCCTGCGGTGCGAATTACGAAAAAAAGGTCATGTTGGTCAGCGGCCACATTTGCGCCAAAGGTTACCCCCGTAAGTTTATCTCAAACCAGACTGCGACGGATGATTACCCACTGTACAGACGTAGAAGCCCCGCTGAGGGCAGCAGAACTGTGACAGTTAAGGGGCACACTCTGGACAATAGTTGGGTGGTGCCTTGTGCCGCTGCTGTCCAAGACTTTTGGAGCCCACATAAACGTTGAATACTGCCACTCGGTTAAGTCAATAAAGTACATCTGCAAGTACGTTAATAAAGGCAGCGATGCTGCTGTCTTGATATCCGGTGTGAAAATTGCGTTGACGAGTGGCGATTCACGTGGCTGGACGCTATCTCAGCAGTAGCGAAGCCTTTTGGCGAATTTTCGGATTCCCCATACACCAAAGGGCTCCAGCCATTGTGCAGATTGCTGTTCACTTAGAAAATAGACAGAGGATGTACTTCACCGAACAAAACGCCCAGCAGGTTGCGGAAAACCCTAAAGACACAACCCTAACGGCTTTCTTTTTAAATTAAAAGCTCAACAGATGCTTTTGCCAAAACATTGATATACCCCCAAGTCCCGTCCTACTATGTGTGGGTCAAACAACCAGTGGGTTCGACGAAAGGCTGGTGACCCTGTCGAGGGTTATCCTGATGTGAGGTCTAACTTTTGCCTTGGGCGGCGTTTATACTGTGCCCCCCAGCCAGCAGGAGTGCTTTTACCTCTGCCTTCTACTTCATGAAATTGCTGGGCTAACGAGTTTCACATATATTTGCACTGTCAAAGGCATAGAATGCCAGTCTTATAGAGAGGCATGCTTCTGTTTGGGATTGCTTGAAGACGACTCCCAATGGGATACAGCCATGGCAGAGGCTGAACTTCTCAGAACGCCATCATCGGGCCCAGAACGCTATTCATTCCATTTTGCTTTTGCGATGCGAACTAAGCGATCCTCTGTCGCTCTGGCTAAAGTACAGAGAATCCATGTCAGAGGATGTGTTGTTCTCCGTTCAGCGTAACAGCCCAGGAGTTGAATGCGGTTTCACTGACTTTATATTCAACAGAGCGCTGGTGGCCCTAGAAGATGTTGTTTTCGAACTGGGAGGTGCCTCTTTACCAACTTACGGTTTACCACCACCGCTCAGAGATGGTTTTGACACTGTACCAACTGAGTTATTGCAGGAAACATCCTACTCCATCGAGGGGCTGAATGCATACATTACTGAAAATGAGCCCAAACTTCTACCTGATCAGAGGGTTGCTTTCACTACTATAACAGACAGGGCAAACGGCGCCATTGGAGGTATATACTTTTTAGACGCGCCCGGAGGAACTGGCAAAACTTTTGTTACTAAATTAGTCCTGGCAGAGGTACGGCGTCGTGGGGAGATCGCTATTGCGGTCGCATCTTCCGGGATTGCTGCAACATTGCTACCGGGAGGTAGAACCGCTCATTCGGCTTTTAGGTTGCCGCTTGATCTATGCTGGTCACAAACTCCTCTCTGCAACATAACAAAGAATTCGCCACAGGCTGAAGTTCTGCGGAGATGCAAACTTATAGTTTGGGATGAGTGCACGATGACACACAAAACGGCGCCCTTGAGGCATTTGACCGAAGTCTCCAAGACATCCGCGACTCCTCCGACCCCATGGGTGGAGTAACACTTCTCCTTGCTGGCGACTTTAGACAGACTCTACCTGTTATTCCTAAAGGTACACGCGCTGGCGCTGTCCACGCCTGCCTGAAGTCGTCTGCCCTTTGGCACCACGTGGAGACTCTTAAACTGAGCACGAACATGCGTGCCTACTTGAATGGGGGACTCAGATCCGCTGACTTCGCGGGACCTTCTTGCTCTTGGGGAGGGAAAATGCCATCTGACACACACGGTTTTGTGAAGATGGATCAGCTTACCACCACTGTTGAATCACCGGATGTATTGATGAATGCAGTCTTCTACAACCTATCATCTAATTTTGCTGATGCCGATTGGCTTGCTGGGAGGGCTATATTGGCACCGAAGAACTGTACAGTTGATTCCATCAACCTTAAACTGTTGGATTGCATTCCTGAGCAATGTCATGTTTATAAGTCCATCGACAGAATTTCCGATCCATCTGAATTAGCTGATTATCCCATAGAAGTTTTGAACTCCCTTCAGCCGTCCGAACTCCCACCTCATATTCTTCGTCTCAAAGTTGGTGCTCCAATTATGCTAATCAGGAATTTGCTCCAACCTAAACAGTGCAATGGGACTCGCCTCATTATTAAATCCCTTTCTCCGAACCTGATTGAGGCGACCATTGCAACTGGCTGCGACAAGGGGGGAAGTCGTTCTGATTCCCAGGATGCATCTTCTGTCGTCAGGCGCAAACATACCAATCAACTTTAAATTAAGCTCACAATTTCCCGTGAAGATTTGTTTTGCTATGTCGATTAACAAATCCCACAAGGACAGACGCTTAGCATCGCAGGTTTGCATTTACGTGAGCAGTGCTTCTCTCACGGCCAACTTTCGTTGGGTGCTCACGAGTTGGGTCTAAGGACAGGGTTTTCATTTATTTCCCAACAACTGTGCTAGAAACATAACCTACACGAGGTCCTGTGAGACAACCCGCCGGTGGCGTTTAAGCACCATGCACACATATGCAGTCCGATTGCATGGCAATTTTTTTGTTTGTCATATTGGTTTTAACGTTAGGTCATCGTAGTCTCCACTTGCCATTACTAAGACGTCTTTGTAAAGGTTATTCAGTTCTTTTGCTGCCTTCTGACTTTCATACCATCACCCGCCATCATTGCGTTTGTTTTCCCTTCAATCCCTATGTATGTTGCAACTGAATCGTGGTTTCAGGACTACTTACCACAAGTGGTTTCAGTAATGCTTAACGATCCAATAGGTTAAAGCAGTAACTGCTGCCAGCTTTTACTCATAGATGTCTTAGTAATAGCAAACGGCTTTCCGTTACTTCCTTCGAATACTTGGGCCTGTATGATGTCTGCCTAAACTTTGTGTGCATAGCGTTTCAACGTTTTGTAGAAACTTAGTTCCTGTTGACTTACAAAGCACATCTTTCAAAGCAACAGCCGTCCCCAACTCTTACTGTTACATCACCGGGCAACGCTGGGCTCTACTGCTAGTGGCTGATAGATTTGAGTAATGTACCTACATCAAATTTTGCTTGATGACCATGGAATCTGCTACTCTTCTGCCATCCACTTGCTTAAACCTGTTAAGTATGTCCCATGTTGCTTTCCCTTGTCCCTCTTCCCTTCTATCTACCTTCTATCAGATTTTCAAAGCCCTCCTTTCTCATTACATGTCCCAGAAATTTCAGCTGCCTCTTCCTGATGTTAAGTACAAGTTTCCTTTTTGCTTGCATCCTCTCCAAAACCTCATTATTGCTCACATGTTTGGTCCATGGTATCCTTAGCATCCTTCTGTAGAACCACACAGAGTCTTTTCATCATCTTTGAAGAGACTGTCCAACATTTGCTGCCATAAAGGAGGACAGATATCATGTAATAGTTCGGTACTCTTTTCTTTGTTACCCACAAAACCTTCCTGTCTTGTAATACTCTGCCTAGCTTTTGGAATACATCTTTCACCATCTCAATACATCTTTGGATTTCAATGTTGCACTTACTGTCCTTCTGTCAGAACACTTCCCAGATATTTAAATTTCTTTACCTGGTTGATTTTAGTGTTCCTGACCTGTAAATTACATTTTGGACTCATCTTTTTGCTGATGATCATGCATTCTGTCTTCTTGTACTTTATGCTTAGTTCATTTTTTTCTCACTCTTCGTCGCTACCTTCTGTTGAAGGTCTTGTAATTTCCTTTCTGTATCTGCTATCAGCACTATGTCATCTGCGTATCTTATGTTGTTAAGATTGTGACTACTAATGATGAATCCTGATAGGATTTCCAGTTCCCTCAGAATGCTGTATAGATTGAATAGATCTGGTGAGAAGACACATCCTTATCTTATGCCCCTGCCTATTTTTGTATATCTGCTGAACTCATTTTTGATCTTTATGTAAGCGATTTGTTGCTAATAGAGGTTTTTTATTATTCTAATGTCTTTCCTGAATATGTCAAGGTTGGTGAGCAGCTTCAACAGATCTTTGTGGCATAGTTTGTCAGATGCCTTTGCATCATCTATAAAACACAAGTGCATATTCTTCTGCATTTATATTACTTTTTCTAATAACATTCTGAGCATGAATGCCATGTTCCTTGTTCCAGTGTCTTTAGCAAACCTGCACTGTTCTTGTGCCTGATTCTGATGTGAATTCTATTCATCAAAATATGGATAATTAGTTTTAAGTGGCTTATTAGGCTAATTGTTTGGTGGAGTTCACATTCATTTGTACCTGATTTCTTAGGCAGTTCTATGAAAATAGATCTGCTAAGATCTTCTAGTATATCCCACTGTTGTAGATTTCATTTATTATTTCCGTAATCTTGTCTATGCCAAAATTATCTAAGGCTATCAGCATCTCCGTTACTATTCTGTCTGGTCCTGCCACCTTGTTTCCATTCAATTCAGCCAGTGCCACTTCTACTTTGGTTTTTAGAATTTCAGGCCCATCAGTAATTCTGTATATTGCCAGTTGTTCTCTTTCATTGTGGAAGAGTTCTCCAATATATTCATTCCAGTATTCAAGAATTTTTTCCTTCTCTAATATGAGTGTTCTATCCTTGGATTTTATGCAGCCTGTCAGACTCTCAAAAGCTTCATCAGGCTTTTGGCACACATTCTTTCAGTTGAATGCAAGTTTTTGACTGGCACATACATTTCAAGTTAGGTTGATGCCAGTTTAAGTTAATGAATGTGCAATCACCAGCAAAATTCTAGAAAATGTGAAAGTAATTTATGAACTGATCCATGAGGACTACTGCCAAAGAGTTAAAGAGTCTTCCAAGTAATTCTAACTTACCAGAACCACCAAATATAATACTGATTGTACATTTACACTATATAACTATTAAAGCATTCAGAAGTAATTATATATTTCGATGCTATGAATTATGAGTTAACTAATCAAGGTTGAATTATAGGAAACTGTATCTAGAAATAGTTTATCATTCCTTCTCTCTGACAGTGTGTCATTTATAGTGCATTTCAGAGTTTAATTAGGAAAACTTGCAAAAGAGGGAATTTATGTTCCTTATGAACTTTTGCTAGAGAACTGAATGCAATGTTCAACCATCTTGCA